GTCCTCAGTGAAACTCTTCATGTTCAAATTCAAAGCAACAATTTCCAATGTGCAAATTGCCAATGCAACATAATTTCCTTTGCAGATTCAACTCTCTTTTGTGCACCTTGTTTCTTAGTACAATAAATTGTACTTATCATTTCCATTTCTGTCTTTTTCTTTAATGTGATTTTCTGATTTAATTTTGCATGTGGAAAGCAATTTGGTAATTTCTATCCGATACATTGTGATCTTAAGAATCTTTAATGCTTTTGATGTCTCTATCCAAGATACAAAATAAATCAACTGCATACTGAAAAGGTTCTTCGTTGATGGTGTTTTTGCTCTTAAAAGTTAATCACAAATGAAAAATGTACTAGTTAACATAAATTTTATTACGAGGCCCATTATTGCAATGTGTCTTACAGTGAAGGGATAAAGTTGAAACATTATATCATTCCATTGCTCTGCTCTCTATTAAATCTGTGAATTAACACTTAAAAGAACAAATACAGTGACAGTAGAGAAATCAATTTAAAGTAGAAACTGATGTGGGAGAAGGCTGAGTCGGAAAATCAAATTTTTGTGATTATACGAACAGAGAAGATTTTTGATCATTGAAAACAAGCTAAAGATGGAATTTTTTTCCCTTTCAGCATGATTGAAAAATCCTGTTTTCCTATTTTGAATTTAATATTTGCATGCTGCTTTAGACTGGAAGTTTTTGCAATTAAAAGACATTTTCTAATCTATAACCAATAAAAGTGATCTAACATTTATGGTTGACTGCAGAAGATCAATTACAGGTAGGACAGAATGGAATCTGTGGACAGAAAAAAATCAATGATTCTGTAGGCTTGCATGCATTTAACTTCCTAAAGATATTTATTAACTGACAAGATTTCAACAGGCTCAACCTTTGAAAGTAATTTATTATCAATATATGGACAATCTATTTTTTTTTATCTTTTTATTTTTAGTGAGTTTATATTTTCCTAACAGATCAATCAAGGTGATAAAGTGATATCTGGTGAAAGGTTACTGAACTTTATTCAATTTTTGTTCGTATTTTTTTGGCCTAGTTTTAATGCAATCAGAAATTCAGACTTAATGGTCATATGTATATAAAAAGTTGGTCAAAGCTTACCTATATCACTTATCACTATTACAAAAGGTGTTGTAGAAATGAGAGGGTGCACTTGATTAATCAGTATTTAGGTACTTGCCAAATATCAGACATGTTGACCCCCTGCAATTTGGTTTCTCTTAACAATTATACTGACCTCCATGAAACTAAAGGATTGCACCTTAACCCTATCAAACAAATAAACAGAAGCTTAATTTAGGTCTAAGTTTGTCATCCTAAACTTAACAGGAAAATTGATTGATTGGTGTTTAACGCCACTTTCAGCACTCTTGTGCTATTTTGTGGCAGTCAGTTTTTATTGGTTGAGGAGGCCTGGGGAAAAAAATTGTTTATTAATTAAACAGGAAAATTATCAGGTATCAAAGTGAATTATGTTTATGCAGCTATTTTCTCTTGATTCTCATAATAAGAGATATATAATGTTGTTGATTTCTTATATATAAGAAGTAGAACCACAAAAACACCATTTGGATTACTATACAGGAATTGATTGTCTACATGCAATAAAAAAATATGGCGATCATTACTTGTCCACATGCAATCAATGAAAATCAACAAGATCAATAAGAAACAATGAACCGGTCTAGGTACATCATTTGAACCATGTTTAATGAATAGGGAATGAAGTTAGAAAAGTCAGACTATTGTTATTAACTCACTTCACCTCAAACTCAGTAAGAAAACCCAGCCATGAGAAAAAAAGTTTGAAAATATGACTAATTAACCAATATATATAATGAGGTAACATTCAAAAAATTCTTATTCAAACCATCTATAGTTATGTATTATACGCATCCAATCGACCAACTACATTTTTGGGGTAAAAAAGTGTGTATTATACACAACAAAATACGGTATGTAAATATCAATGAAAGTTATACAGATGTAATCTTCTACAACCTTTGACCGGTACAGTATATATCGTTTAAAATCTACATTGAATGTCATTTACTTATTCTGAAGGTCATTCTCTATGCTCCTGTTCAATTACCTATATGAATTATGCATCAAAGCCCTGAGAGATAGAATATTTTTCTTAAACTGTTGAGTGCACAATGAATAATTAATGTTGAAGTCCCTATGCAAGCCATATTCTAATTAAGGAAAGACCTTAGAGATTTGATGCCAAACAATCAGCACTAATCTAATTCCGCCAGTGTATCAAACCAGCTATCGTGATCTATATACATAATAGGTACGAGCTTTAGAATTTATCGCTGTTGCTCGTGGTATAATGAAATCTTGCTGATTGGTTTAAGCTTGATGCAACAAATTCAATACTTATTTACCAATCAATGATAAATTTGGCTAAAGCAAGCGTAGAATTAAATTGTAACAAAAATCGTTCATTATTTTTTTTCTGACACAGGAAGAAACAGCAATGTTATTTACTCTTGCCTATTTGGTGTCTGAATAGTTTTTGTTCGTTGATTATATTAGAAATTATATCAATCGTAATTCTACGCAAAACAGACTGTTGAATACATTTTAGCATGGTGAAGATAAATCCATTAGATAAACAATGAAAGCTTGACAATTGAATTCAGTTTACTGCTAAAATGCCATGGTATTGTTGTTTTTGGTCGTACTAAACAACAGTTTATATAAATTGTACTTTTCCTTTAAGTAACTACAACAATAGCCCAAAGCATTAAAGGGAAGCAAACATGAAACTTCAAAAACAAATTTAGATGGGAAGCTTTTTTTATAAAATAACTTCTCAAACAAAAAACGCAAATTGTAAAAAAAGAAGAACAGATTTACTGATTGTTCTTAAGTTGTTATAGCTATATCAGAGGATGGGTTATCTACCTTTGAAATCTTAAAAGTGCTAATATTATCCATCAATTTTTAAACTAATGAAATAATTGAAAATTTTGATGCATTGATGTATAACTATTACAGTGAAGTTTAGTAATTTGAACTTTTATTTTGATTCTGGTCATATATCAGGGAGGAGGGTGGTTTCTATCATTTTTAAAAGTCAATCTCATATATATCAAATCAAAGAGAAACATCACAAATATTAAGATTAGAAATAATATTTACATATCCAATGAATTCTGATAATCAATAAAAAAAATTTATCTGATTTGCCAGCACTAGTCTGTATTTTTCACAATCTCACCAGAATTATTTGAAAAATAAAATAAAGAAAGAAATATAAGATTCTTTTTTCTTGCTATTGACATGATTGAATGGTAAAAGCTTATGTCACAGGTAAAATCAAACAGATTAACTGTACACTTCTGAATGCAAGCATGAGAAATAATTGGACAAAAAATTAAGTGATCTGCCTTTCAGGGAGAGCTCAGGTCAGGTTAAATTCAAGAGCATGTGGATAGCTGTAACAGTGTGACTGCTAGTTTTAATTTTGAGGCAAACATTATGAATTCTTAAGTTCATTGTTACATGTGCCATATAAAACTGAACTGTTGCAATACTGTCAGTGGCACATGATATTTCATTTTTGTTTTCTTTTTTGCTCAGTTTGTTTGAAATAAATATATTTTAAATACTTTTAGACGGAAAAATGCTCTTGTTATTTGACTATCAGTAGACTGTAAGACATACTTTTCATGTATATCATGTAAATAATGCGAACAAAAAAGACAATACATTCCATGCAGGTGAATGCATTCTTGTACAATTTATGACTGGCCGATCGGTAGAACAATGAAAATTGGTATTCATATAACTTTATCTTTTGATCTGTTTGAGTGGAGTTATTATCGAAACAAAACCTCCAATGCTATAAATTGTGGTGTATTCTAATAGGATTATTACTTTTTGTAATCTTGACTATTGTCTATGTTTGGACAAGCTCGATCAGGCAGAAACGTATTATTTTGTACAAAAGACCCAAAACCTGTTCGTTCCCATTACAGCGCAAACATTCAAGGTATTAATATTGATTGAGGCTCAATGAAGGAACTTTAAAAAAATCTATATGAATTTTTTTCTGAAATTAAATTTCGTTTTAGCAAACCAAAACCATATAAAGCTGCACAATTTTTTGTTGAATAGAATTTTTCAGTAACCTATTTGAACATGCTATATATTTATTTTTTTGTTTATTTATTTTTTGGATTAAATATTTTCAGAAATAAAATTATTCATTTATCTATATGTCTATGTCTCAGTGAGGAATACTCCACATGTCCTTTCATTGGTTTGAAGTCGGGAGACAAAAGTTTTTTGTTTAATTGATATTTTCATTGTTATAATATATACTTAGTTTTTTAGTTTTTTTTGTATGTAAAATTATATGTATGCACACTGGATAATAATAGTTTGCCTACTATGCAAAAAATCAAACTCATTGCAACGAATGTGGATGAAACAGATATGACAGACATAAACTTGATTATATTTTTTTTAAAGTTTGCATATAAAGAACACATTGCCATGGCAATACAATATTATAACTCCTTGATTGGCATAACATGCTGAATCTTCATAACTGGAATGTCAGTTATTCAAAAAATATGATTATTAGATATTGCATTCAAGGATTTTTTTCTTTATAACACTTTACAGATGTGTCAAGGATATAATTTCTACGGGACCTAAGAGATGAACAGACTATTGATTTTTGCCACCCACTCTTGCTTGCATTGATCAATTTAAGAAAATATTTTATCTTACTTAGTCAAGTTGCACTAGTCTTTTTACCAAAAATTTAATCCTTTCTTATGTAATTATCGAGAAGACGAATTAAACTTGACTCTGAAGGAAAATAGCATATCATTTGTACAAAATTACATCTTCCTATAGACAGCTTCTTTCTCTGGAGACTTTCCGTTAAAGATATTAAGAAGTCAGTGAAAAAATAATGCTTGTTTTATGTTTGTTGTTTTTCTAATCTTTACAGAAAAAGGAAGAAGAAAAGAAAAAAAGACGTGATTTACAAGCATCCTTGGAAGAAAAATGTAAAAAGTCATTAGGTTTGTACTTTATGGCATTACATTGATTGACATGTCCCACAAGAAATATATTCATGGCAAAATCGGTCGTAAGATTGTTACATAATTGTTGATGTATGGAATTATTCTCTAAAGAAATGTCTTCATAAATATCATCTATCACAAAAACAAAATGACTTCACAAACCGAAACACACATGCTGCCCTTACATTTGTTCTATAAATAGAATTTACCGTGGACTCAATTGGTGTTTAATTTAATTTCAATAATTATTATGTCGAGTGAGGTCTTGAACTTAGATACCTACGACTCTAGGTTTACAGCCCTGTGTACACAGAAGCTGTTATTATAGAACACTTAATTATAACATGGTTTGGATTTATAGGTTTTTATTCTCAATGTAGGCCTAATTCATCATGTTATGGCAGACTTATAATTACACTACTGAATCTAATCAATGATAAAATAAGTGTCATTATACTGTGTAAATGATGTGCAAGCATTTAATCGAGCTTATTTAGATGGTATATTTCCTTGAGTGCTTTTTGCTAAGGTGTCTAAAACTCAAGATAATGATTGTGTTTCTTTGTTTGGGCGTAATGATAGGTTAAATCTATATAAACACAGTTTTTCTGGCAGCATTTGGTGGATACTTCTGGACCTCCCTTTATCAGAAAACCTTTGAGCTAAGAGTGGCTCACAACATCGTTGAGCTCAAAGTGTCATGACAGAGGTTATCAAAGTAAAGTCCATTTGGTGGATATTTCTGGACCTCACTTTATCAGAAAAACTTCGAGCTAAAAGTGACTCAGAGCTGCTCTTAGATCAAAGTGTCATATCAGGGGTAATCAAAGTATTTAACACACTGTTTTTGAACCCTTCAGTGAATATTTCTGGGCTTTCCTTTATCAGAAAAGCTCCGAGCTGCAAAGAGCCAAAAGCTGGCTCAAAGTGTCATGATAGGTGGAATCAAAGACAGTAAACACATTTTTTTGCAGCTCTTGATGCATATTTCTGGGTTAACCTATGCTCCAAACAAAAAGCTGTTACAGTCTTTAAGAATACAAATACACTGGAGCCGTATAACCAAAAAAGGGCAGACCTAAAGTATCTCAACTTGTTCGATTCGCTTGTGTATGTAACAACGTATTTGATTTCAACGAATGAAATCCCTGTATTACTGAAAGATTATTACACCAGGGTTTTCGATATCACAAACTAGTCAAAACATTTACTAAACTTTATCATTGGTACAAGGACATCATTCGTAAATATAAATCAACATGCAGACATCTTATGCGTTCAGGTATTTCACATCCAATATTTTATGGTAATATTCTTTACAAAGCACAAAAATGTCAGCATTCACCTCAAAAGCTAACCAAACCTTTAAACAGACTTCTTCGGAAAGGATATAGTTACGATACTGTTGTCAAGTCATTAAGGATTGCATATTTTGGTATTAATATTGATTCACTCATAGGGTCTTTGCATCGAAAATAAACACATTTATTCTAAAACCAGTTGTTGGCATGATACGGGTTATGTTCTTCTCATATATTTTATGATGGTATGATACTAAACCCCTAACGGGAGGGATTGTACTTGATTTTCATATGATGAAGACATAATCTTTCAATCAGTTTAATTGAGGTCTGGAGCTGGCATGTCAGTAACTGCTAGTAGTCCTTTGTTCATTTATGTATCATTGTCATTTTGCTTAGTTTCTTTTGTTACCTATTCTGACATTGGACTCAGACTTCTTTCAAACTGAGTTTTACGGTGCGTATTGCTATGTGTTTCTTTATTCTACATTTGCTAGAGGTATAGGGGGAGGGTTGAGATCTCACAAAACATGTTTAACCCTGCCGCATTTTTGCGCCTGTCCCAAGTCAAGAGCTCTGGCCTTTGTTAGTCTAGTATGTTTTTTGATTTTAATTCATTTATATGTTTTGGAGTTTAGTGTGACGTCCATTTTCACTGAACTAGCACACAATTTTAGTAAGGGGCCAGCTGAGGACCACCTCTGGGTGTGGGATTTTCTCGCTGCATTGAAGACCCATTGGTGGTCTTCGGCTGTTGTCTGCTCTTTGGTCGGGTTGTTGTCTCTTTGACATATTCCCCATTTCCATTCTCAATTTTACTGGTAATAAAGTGAAATAAGCTTATTTATGTGCAGAAAATATGAAAATTAAATATTTGAGATTCATTTTACAAGCGTACATGTATCACATTTTTGTGTAAATGGCATCGTTCTTACAGTAAAGTTTAGATTTTATCATCAGATTAAAAACTTTACATACTTTAATTCCTTTAAAAGAACCTCATTACAGAAAAAATACATTTGATACCATTATATGTATGTACTAAAAAAATAATCATCTTAAAAAACAGCCTTGTTTATTCATTTTGATGGAAAAATAAAAGATTAGCTACACACATTAAGATTATTAAGAACTTTATACTTAGTTTTTGGTAGTTTAATTCCACTTAAGATTTAGATTTAATCCATCATTACCAAATTGAAAAATCTAAGTTACTAACAAGTTTAATATACGAAATGAAAAAACATGTTACCACGTCGTTCAATAATAGGACTTGGAAGTCTTGAATCCATAGCCGGTATGTCGATAACAGTTTTTGTACATTAATTTGAAATCCCTATTTATATGAATGAAGTTTTTCTGTAAAAGAAAAAGATTGATTTTAAAACTGTGATCCAGCTGATTTTATGTATGTTAAATTTCATCTAGATCATTGAAACAAGCCTTATTTGGTATTGTACTAATTTATAACATGAAACCAGCTTTTAAACACCTTTTTCCTTTAAAAACCCGCTTTTGCCATCACTCTGCAGGCTAGTTGTAAACAGCTTACCAAACATGAGTCTCTTCTCTGATCCAGAAACAATTATTTTATGAAGCTATCCTAAGCAATTTTTTTTCCCTACTAAAACATACACTCATATTTGTGATAAAATATACAATTTTTTAACCACCTTTTCTTGATGAAAAGAACTGCCATGAAATATGAGTTATATGATCGACCCTCGTCTGTGTTTGTTGATTACTTTTTTTTTTTTAATCATCTCTGTGGAATTGTCAGTAGTGGTTTGGTATCTCCAATGTTTATGGACTGACGCCTTTACTTATGCTTGATCATAATAATTGGTTACTATCAGAAGTGAATGACTGAAGGGGAATGACTTTTGAAAGAGCTGCTTTCTCTCTCTAGTGACCACTTGAAACTTATCAGTTCTGTTTTCTTTTGAAGTTGAAATGATGCTCTTTCTCTTATCATGCTTTAAAGGCAATATTAAAATCATCAAGTCATTGTGCTCTCTTCTCTAAAGCAAACTTTAACCAAATTGTGACTGTCTATCAGAGTCCTTAGTGAGTCCTGATGGTCTAAATTACCAGTCAATATTTTCTTCTACAAAATGTTTGCGTTATTTTGGGTTCAGAGCTGTAGTCGGTAGTATATGTGATAAGGTGAAATTGATGGGGAAAAAATAAGAAAACATAAAAAAAGACAATATCATGAGCAAAAGTAAAAAAGATATGGACATCGATTGAAAGAACCAATAGTTCATTTTTGTAGAGAGCCAGGTGTGAACTAATGTGCTTATGAAGGGACACATGAATACTTTATTCTGTAAATTGTGTTCAAATGCTAGACATTTCTGATAGCTTTTTGATCTATTCAAAATAAAATGGACTACTTGATAGAAAATATTATTGATAAGATGATTAAGCACTCAATGTTTGAATAAATACTGCCATTATTTTTTAAAGTCTTCTGATGTTAATCATTTTTGTATTATAATGTTTATTTATATTTTAGAGGAAGATAAGAAATCAGCCAAAGGGGAAAGGAAGAAGAAATCTAAAGGCAATGTAGTTCAACCCCCAACAGTAACTGAACGCACCCCATCAGCAGGAAATGTCACACAGAAGTCAGGAAGTGCTGGGTCACAGGGGAGGGCTTCTGTGTCCCCAGGGACCAGACAGGGTAGAGGGTTTCAGGCCTCCCTACCCCCCATGTCCAGAACACCATCCAATCCTGATTTTGGAGGACCAGAGTCAAAACCAGGCACCCCAATGTCACAGAAAGAGATGTTAGAATGGTACCAAGTCCAACTGTATCAGAAGTTTGGACCAGAAGCTGATTATTTCTTGCATCCAAAGATTGAACAGAAGACCACTAAACCAATACACCCAAAACTACACAAACATGGAGGTGCGTTTGATTATTGTGGATTTTATTTTTCACAAAGAAAATCCAATATGTCTTTCCCAGAGTTCTCTTAAAAAGAGGCTCCAACTTTGATTGAGTGTAAACCAACTAATTTTTGCTATTTTTGTAAAAAGAAAATTAACACGAATATAAACATTGGGAATATAAATTCATCTTTAGTATAAAGTTTTAGATCAATAAAATAAGAAAATTAACAAACAAAAAATTGGCATGAATAGGGCTAGAAAGGGATAACCGCAAAAAATATTCCAAGAAAATAAGTTAATATCTTTCCTAACAGCTTTACAATTTGTATGGTCCAATGAAATGAATTCATGTAACTAAGGTATAATTGCACCATTTCTGAAAAAGACTTATAATTTTAAAACAAACAAGACAGATTTTTTTTTTAACATAGCCAGTTAAGGACATAGTCAGATTGACTTAGCTTTATAGTTCATGGAAAGAAGAGATTGATATATTATCTTAGGCATTCAGTTATATTAACATACAGGGAAAGTTTGACCAAAGTTACCTGTCTTTACAAATGGCAAGCAGGGAACCATTACTCAAAAGTAAAATGAAATTACATTTTTTGGTAAAATCTGGAACATTTGGTTGAAGTAATCTTTCATTACATATTTCAGTATTGGCAAACAGGGAACAATAAATAAAAAGGAACCAGTCATTACTTTAGAATTGACAAACGGGGAATGGGGAATAGTTTGCAAAATAACCTTTCTTTATATTTGTTAATAATTGCAAACAGAATTTTTGGTCAAACTAACCTGTTTTAACATTTGTAAGTTATGACAATCTTTTTGAAATACAGATACTGTGTCCAAGCTTTGCTTACAAGGATCTGAAAACACTTCATTTTACTACTGTTTTTAAAGACCTTTCAGGATCCTTTGGTTTTATTGTAACGACAGACACTTTCAGAATTTTCATTGGCTGATGTAAGAATAACCTGAACAGAATGGAGTGTTGTCAGATCCTTGAAATGGGAGCATGGATACGGGATCTGTTTCTCAACCAGATTGGAGTAATGACAGACAGGAAATTAGCACATTAAGTTTCACTACATTAATTAATTTGTGTTCATACCTATTAATTTCAGATGTTGTGAATCCATTAACAGGTTGGTTAAAGTTTACTCCCTCCAAATATTTATATCTTCACTCCTGTATTGTCTCCCCTTTTTTGCACATTCTACGAATTCACTCTGATTTTATATCTTATATTATTGAGTGTTTCTTACTCATTTATCTGTCATTTATTTCACTTTGTGCAAGAGAGCAATTCTATCACTTAGCATCCATCGTCTGCCTGTAAATTTTTCAGAGGCTCTATATGAACAAGCCATTATTGACATCTCCTCTCTAACAACTTGGCCTAATAGAATCAGACTTTTGGGGCTTTCAAATCTAATACCCTAAGTTTAAATTGATGTTTCTTCCCAAAATCTAAGATGGCCATCATGACCAAATATAGTCCCACATTAAACTTTATGATAATTATAGATGTTTTAATGGATTCCATTTTGATTCAGTATAATATTTTGGTGCCATATGAGCTATACAGACTCCTTGGAGAATCTATTTATAATTTACTGTCAACTGATACTTCTAGAACTGCAACTCTCTTTATATTACACTGTATGCACATTTTAGATGTTCGTCTCTGTTCATATCTATTTTTTTTTATTATTCAAGACCTTTTATATTATCTTATTATTTATTCATTATTTTTCTCAGTTCTGATTAGTCTCGTGGCATATGTGTAGCATGCACTGAATAACACTATTGACGAGATGATAATAGCTTACGGCCATATTATGTTATTTTTAGATTCTCATCCCTCCATCACTGGGATTTTATCTTTTATTTGACATTTAAGATATTTCTTTGAAATCTTAAATATTAAATTCTAAGCAACTTTAGTAATAATTAATGAAATTTAAAAAACTAGAATCCTTCCTCCCTCAATGATTTATGTTGTGGAAGGAGTATAAGATTATAAGATTATAAGATTATATAAGATTAATTTTAATACAGTTTTGATAATTTTCTCATATGTTAGAGCAATGGTAAATGTTGGACTAAACAATTCTGTGGCCTTCATGGCTACCGGTATATAAATTTATGAATGTTTGACCTACTTGATTAAAGGTTGAAAAATTGTGGAGGGTGCAGTTTTTATGGCAGGTATGATTATTCCTTTCATGCATGTATATTGAGAAGACACAAGGGCTGAGAATGAGATGTAAAATTATTAAAAAGAGGCTGCATCTATTACCCTTTTAAGCATCTGCAAATAAAAAATGAAAATGGATTTAAGCTGCTATATGTTATGGATTTCAAATATCATTATCATTTAAAACATAATTTCCTTGTTATAACAGAACTTAATATTTGCATTAGTTAGTTTTCCTTGTTACCGGCCACAAGTAATTGATTATTTTAGAATTATGAAATATAGATAAGCGACAATGACATTTATTTTCTCAGCATCAATGGATATAAGCAGCATTTTTAAAATGTTTTATGAACTCAAAAAGCATTAAATGCCATTACTTCTGTTTGTGGAGGAATTTTCTCTAAAAAGCTAGTAGTAGTTGGTGATGTGATTATACCTAGTCCCTAGGTACTGGAAGATGATGATTTTTATTATTCTTGATCATTATACAATTATCATGTCAGAAATGGATGGAAATAAATTTTATTGGTTTCATTGATTTTTAGACGAATATTGTTCATGTCTGAAAAGGAATTATTGTGATTTAATTACAAATTCCATACTCTTTTATGTTACTCAGTATCAAAAATTGATATCTTTTGTTGTTGGAAATTTATAACCTCTTTTAATAGTATTTTAATACTTTTTAGGTTCATAAGCTCCAGTACATTTTATTTTGCTTAATGAAAAATTTAATTGTTTCTGCCTTGAAAATAAATGCTTCAAAGCATCCAAGTACCATTCAATCTATACAATTTGAAAAATCAATCACCAACTTGCAAAAAATATGGATATATGAAAGTTCTTATCAATCCAATTTTAGCTGAATGGAAACGAATGCAAGAATTGAGGAAAAATAATGCAGAAATCGAGGGTAAATCTAGATTTCCTTAGGGAATCAAATTTTTCAGGCAAAATAGATATTCTATATATGGGTTATTAGGCTCAATTTGGAATAAATATGGGAGACAACTCTATTTTTGTTTCGTTTATTTCTGTAGCTTTCTTATTGTAGGAAATGGTTAAGGTACATTAATTGTAATCATTTCACAAGTAACTGCAACCTAAAACTGTTTAAGTGCATACAATAGTTTTGATCCCAAGTAAATTTTGAGAAAAATTTACTTGCATACAAGCTATTTTTCACCTAGTCAATTCAAATATGTAATAAAAATTACACCTTCATGTGCTACTTTTAGAGATAAATGAGGTCGAGATTTTAGAGATTTACTCAAAATTTCTTTTTCTTGAACATATCTATCCTTTGGAAAGACATAAAAAAACTTTTGTTTTAAAATATAAACACTAGTACAAGATTGTAAAAACATTTGAAATATCTTCTATTCATAAGTGTGCACTTAATTTGTGTAACAAATCTTTGGAAATGATTTATTTTATTAAATTTTTTGATTTTTAGGAAAAATCATCTTTTTTTGTATGTTTATCATCTAATTTTAAATAATTTCATCTGTGATTTGTTCATATAAATTTGTACAAATAATCTTCAAACATAATCAAGCCAAATTTGATTTTAAAAAGGGGGTCCATGTACAACTTTCAAGCTAATAATTAGGATCAGCCGAAAAATGCATTTTCCCAATATGTCACATTCTGATGTCACTAAAAATTTTATTTTATGATAGCCACCTCGTTATCTCCCCATTAACTGTATTGTATACCCTTTAATATAAGACACATTATATACATTTTTTAATTCAATTTTTTTTTAATCTGATTTATATCCTAACCATATATGGGTAAATTTGAAATGATTTTAAAGAAAACATTTTTTTTTTGGTTATTTCACACAGGTTATTACGAAGTTAAAAAAAATTGAAAAAAGGAATTCAAAAATTATTCACACAAGAAAAAGTTAACTTTTGCTGAAAAGACACAAATTTAATCCTTCACTGATACATAACCAATGCTTCCATTATTTCATTTTAATGATTATGTAAAATAGGTACTTATAAACTTGATATGAAATAAAAAATCAATAATTATGCAATGACTGCCACAGGAATCAAATTATTGGCTAAGAATACAAGTTTTAATGTACCTTTAAGTCTATTGTGGTATTTTATTTGACCATATATCATTTACCTTGGGGAATTCTTATATTTAATTTTAAATGTCTTCCTAGTTCAGAATCTCTAAGTCACCGAAACTCTGTAATTTCTTGGTAATAGTACATTCATTAGAAAATACTGTGTTTCTGCATTGAAATTACAGATTTATTATTGGGGTTATTCATACTTTTACAGGGATCAAAAGCTCTATTCGTATTTGTCAAACGTGTAAATTTCACTGGTTGCTTTAATTCAAATGGTTAGAAGTATTAAAAATGGCTGTTCTCTTTATTATAAACCAACTTTTCTTATGTACATACAATGCAAGTGATTGTCTGATGAGTTTGTCAAATTGAAAAACTGAATGTGTCCTGTTATACCTTCTGCAGAATAAACACTTTTCTTTGGAATTTGAATTTTAAATTTGTCCCTGCTTATTAAAACATAAATATTGCAGTTTATATGTATGTTATTCCTATACCAAGCATAAACAAAAAGGACATTGTTTTTAGGGGGAATGTCAGGAAGAACTGTTTATTAACTGCTCGTAGACTAGCCTTTGGAAAATATTTTATTTACATGTAAACCATTTTCCAGGAAGTGACTTGACAATGACTTTAGAAGTCTGAAGAAATTTTTACAAGGTTGACAGAACTAAGTGACCTCGTTGCCAAAACTTGAAAATAGTGACTGAATTTATAATATAATTGCAGCAAAGCCACCCCAACCCCCCCCCCCCTTTATGAGATTACTAATGTTATTTTAGTATTTTTCAGTAATTTTTTAAAACTTGTATAATTACAATTAATAAAAAGTTGTCAAATAGATTTATGTGGGCTATTTTATTTATGAAACTTGTAATAGTGTATTTGGTGCAAAGTAATTTTTTTTATGAATTATTTTCATCTCATTCAGAATTTCAATGGTTTCTGATATTTATTTTTCTATGTACATATATATGTAATCCATCATCCAACAAGGAAGTGCATGAGTATGTTCATGCTGGGCTCAAATGTACATCTTGGCAAATCGTGGGTTTTTTGAGAAGAGAAATGACATCATTAGATTCAAATATTAAATATGTGTTTATTGATTATTAAAAAAAATATACATGCAGGCTGATGTTGACATTGTTGATGGAAATTTCTAATGATGCAAATTTTTTTTTGAAAAATTGAATGCTTTTTTATTGGGATGTAAAATCTTTGACTGTAGCACATCCCAGATTAAATCAATGTGGAAATTATCTAAATTTCTGTTGTTTTAGTGAATGCCTGTATTAATCTTCATAGGAAACTAGAGCTAAAAATGTATAAAAGCCTTTATAAAATAGTCAAAACTGTTTATGATAATCTTTTCAAGGGGTTTGAACTAAAATCTTAATTCCAGAGAAAAAAAATTGTAAGCTGAGAATTGATGAAAATGTACGAAAGAAATCAGGCTAATAAGCAGACAAGACTAATGTCAGCATATTAACCCTTTTACAAAAAATGGGTGTTTGGTCCATGCTTTTACAACTATATGAAACCAGGAAAAGAAGCCTTCTTTGAATTAAATTCATCTTTAAAAAAGGAAAAAATATAGAATTTCATCTATATATTGTTAAGACAAATTTCTGAACTTGGCATTGTTGTAATGTTAGATTGTTCTTATGGATGCATATGTAATAAATTCAGTGGTTATGAAAAATGCATTTTTTTTTAGACATATGATTAACTGTGGTCCATTCATGTTGCTTAGACTCAATGAACATATTGCTATTATCTTTTCTACAGGTCGAGCAGGAGCAGAAAAATTGTTAGATATCTTGAGAAAAGAGTCAATGATTAGATTGTATAAAGAAGATGCAAAGATTCCAAGAGAATACAAGGTTTGAATTTTTAAATGCTCTTTTCTAGAAAAAAAATCAATTGGGGTGTTTCCAATTGCCAGACAGGTGTTCAATATTGTTCTCTTATCCTGAACTAGTACACTGAACAAATTAAAACCAACATATAACACATGTCTCAAGGCAGTGAAATATATATATAGGAGTTTTCAGTGAGGTTCAGAGTGGGTTTTCCCATAGTCAATCAGGAAAGGCAGGTGAAAAGTGTCTTCCAGTTAGGACCAACACCCAAGCTTTGGTTTTGAGACATCTTAAATTTCCTAACCCATATGCGAGTGGTCTTGTCGTTCATTAACATGCAGTTAACTACCTATTGAAGGCCAGGACTAACAAGTAGCCACAAAAAAAAAATGACAAACCTAAATGCAGAAGATTTTAGAATACTGGTAGATATTTTTAGGAAAGATAAGTGACATTTTACTGAAACAGATCACAGACACATTTGATTATAAATGATGAAAGTAATAAAAAAAACGTTGATTTTCTTAACTGATATCAAGTCTTTCAAGTATTGCATTTAAAAAAGCCATAACTTGGAGTAATGTAATTAAGTCTACCTTATTATGTGGGCGAAAAATAAATTATTCATCATTTGATTCTGCATGTATTGTTTGGCTGACATGGAAGTTTTGTGATCTATCCCATTGAAAATTTTTCATGACATTACATGTAATCATGAGCACATTCTGTTATCTGCTATGAGACTCAATACACTGAGTGACTTGGGATTAACTCTCGGTTATATTTTGTTTTTTTCTGCAATCTCATTAAAGGGCAATAACAGAGAAACATTCTCCAGTTTGAAAGATCACTTATTGTCTGTTTATTACTATTTGTTTTTAAACAACGTCAATGATGTAAGCTTATGACATCATACCTTCTCTTTATACCAAAATGAGAGAAAACTTTTCACTGGCCTAGTATATCTCTCGGATTATGATTGGCTAATGACAGAAAGATCAAGGAAAAATTTGAGAAAATACAATACATTTTTGTAATTTCAATTACCAAGAAACACATTTAGATGTAAATGTGAGTGGGAAAAAAATCATTGACAGTAAAAACACTACTTTTTATTCAACATGTCTGAAGAAGAAAAAATTACCTCCTTCTGCTTACGTGAGCTTGCTTACTTTGAGTATGGGACTTTTAGGATTTGATCCCAAACTGGGTCAAACCAAAGAATTTGAAATTTGTATTAGCTGTTTTGACAAAGCACACAGCATTTAGGCATAAGAGGAAAAACTGGTCGGTTTGGAGTCAGAATAATGTAATAATAAGGTTGTATGTCTTTCCACAGACTTCAATCTTTGAGCTAGCACATTAAAATTTGATATAGTACAAGTAGGATACATTCATATCTCAATAACAAGTTTTTATTCTGAAAATGCATGTTGAATATGCTGCTGAACATTGAGCTGCCTTCAATCAATCAATAATTGAAGAAGAAAAATAGATATCAGATGACAATGAAATCTAAATTCATAGGTCAAACCAAAATTGCTACTTTAGAATCTTAAGTCAATTAGAATTCATACTTGAATGACATTAGTATTGATTTTTAAATGCAAAGTTGCCGTTTAATGAGTTATGTTTTGCTTTGAAAGTACATATTACATAATCTTATGACAGAAAAAAATAAGACATGTGGTATTTTTGTCATGTAACTTTCATTTTGTATAATTTAATGTGTCAGAGTTTTATTTCAACAAAAACAAATCTTTTGAAATGAAGAATCTGAAAATCTTTGAATATTTTATTGGCTGTGACCATATCTTAGAAGTCTTGTTTTTAGAGAAATTTAACTTCCGTGTTATCTTAATGTAGGCAGTTAAGAGCATTTTATTATTTGAAAAGTAACAATTTCAATTCCGTTTTTAGAAAAGATTCTGAAATTAACTGTTGCTTTGTTAATCTGTGTTGCATAAGAGAAACTTGTAGATTAAGATGTGTTTATTCACTGGGTATCTGTCACTTTGAATGATTTTAATTGTCAGTCAGTTTCAACAAAAGCAAATTTTAAGAGAAATGATAAGTGGAATTACAGTTCTGTTGTGATTATAACTGTATCTCAAGGGTCTGAAAATGAATAAAAAGAATACTTTATAAATTTCATGTATAGTAAGCACTTTTCAAGATTTATCTTTATCAGGAATGCTCAATCCCAAACTTTTGAAAACCAAGGATAAATTCCTGAGTAGGAGAGGGGACCTAAAAAAGATAGCTAAATTTGCTGTTTCAGAATCTAATGCATTCTGGGTAATATTTTCAAAAGCACACATCAAAATGCTGTGATTGGCTTACATTGTCCCAAACAATTGAAATTCAACCAATGATGTGCATTGTTTTGAATGGGGTACGAAGAATGAGATTACCCACAGCACTTTATAGATTCCAAAATGGTGAATTCATCTAAAATCAACTTTGCCTTAAGGAGTTTGAACCTCAGTTTCTTAATAACATATTAGTTTATCAACAGGAAAATGTGTTATAAATCATATCAGTACCAAAGGACTGACTACTGAGCTGATGATACTCTCAGGGAACAACATTCCACTCTGACTTTCCAGAGCTTTCTATTGCTTCTCCTTCCTTGAAAAAAAATTGAGTATTCAAAGCATTGTTGCAGTGGTGTCTGTTGTATGATGGAGCTTATAATGTTCATAATGCATTGCAATGTAATTGTCTTATCTAAATTTTCAAGCAAATTTGATAGAGATTGTAATGAACCATTTAATAAAGCAATTCAATGTACATCGAAATGAAATGCTGAAGTTTAAGCTCAAAGCATCACAGTGGACAATGGAACATGCATGGTTAAAACATGATGAAACCCTGCAGAGTATTATGTCCTTCAGTTAATTGCACAGAAAAACAAAATTTTATTTTGACGAATAGTGCATTTTTTACATTGTGATAATTATGTCACTATTCTGTTGTATTTCTTATGATTTTAATTAGAAATTTAGCTAGTAAGATATTAACAGTTCCAGACAACTTGGTTTTTAAATTTGATTCATTTTATAGGGATATTTTATTTTCCATTTTAGGATGCTTATAATGCCTTGGTGAGGTTCCATTTAGGGAAATATAATGTAAATCTTCGAAGAATATTTGCTGCTGACAATGAGGATGTAAGTTATGATTGTGTATACAATAGTGCAGTACTGTAAAAAAAAAAAAAAGGAAATTTTTTGTGAGGTTTGTTCCCCCACAAATATCGCAAAACAATCACAAAAAATTTCCCCTCTCATTTTAAGAAAGTTTAGAATAAATTTTTTTTAACCTCCTGAATGTTAACATGTTTGGCCACCTTAACTTTTTTACAGTATATATTGATCTCTGAATTAAATAAAAAATATAGCACATGAACATAAATTGTGATATTATTGTATTCTTAGATCTACTTTTTACTTGTTTAAATTGAAGGAACACATTTTGTAGATTGAACAATTTAATGAATTTTAAGAGAAAATATTGACATATTCGAATCAGGAGGAAAAATTTACTCTGAAATGAAATGAATTGATTAGGTAGCAGTCTTATAGTTAAATTTTTATCTAAATTTCACTGGAAAGAAAGAAAAAAAATGATTTGGGCATATTCCAATAAAATAAACTGAAATTCTTCTTTTTTGTTAGGTTTCGGAAATATCTCGTCTGTCTGACCAGTCAGTGATGAGGAGAGTTCGTAACCAGAGGCATAAGACTGAACTGATGTACAGAGCCTCAGTGAATAACCAAGACAGGACAAATATTCTCAACATCGAAAATCCAGTTAATCAATTAGACGCTGAAATTGGTCAGGGTGTGGCCAAATATCTGCCATCATGGCTTGATGATTCATCTGTAAGTTACAGATGTATATTATCCTAATTGAAAATTGAAAAAACATTGATGCTAACCATAGATTCATTTTGTGAAAACCTGGAACACTCACTTCTCTCTATTTACAACAGATTCAGGATTTGCCAAACATGATATAACACATATATATATTGTAAATTCAGAAATTATTGTGTGCATTTATTATTGCGATTTTGTCATTTTAGACTAAAATGCGATTTGAATTTTTACGATATTGAGAAAAGTCCTGTTTAATTCATATAAAAAATTTCAAAATGTGAGTTTAAATTATTGCGATTATAACCCTGTCGCATTTTTCGCAATAATAAAAACATTGCAAAAATTTCTGAATTTACGGTATTGTTTGATAATGTTATAAATATATTTTGATGTATTTGGGTTTATGAAATGCTTAAGTGCTCGAAAAATAGTTGATCTGAGGAAACTGAATCAAATGATACCAGATCAGGCACCAGTCCAATTATATGACAACTAGAAATGTTGCAGATCTGAAAAGGGTTCCAAGGTATTCAAAAGTTGTAGATATTCAAGACATTTAATATGAAAGCACTATTCCCTAATTTATGATATTGATTGTTAGAATCCCACTTTAAAACAAGATATACATTTTACTGAAAAATTTGTTTCAGGATTACTCAGAAGAAGAATATAAAAGATGGGTAAGAGGACAAGAAAACGAGCGCACCTTTACATCAGAACCTATTGCAGAAGAAGATACAGAAGAAATAAAAGATAATTTCAAAGAAAACATTAAACCAGAGGAACAGTACAGTGGTCTTGATGATGAGCTAGTTTTGCTTATGTCTAGAAAACGACATAGGAAACCAAGAGAAAGCTTAAAGTTCCTTACAGAAAAAGACACACGATACAAAGGAGGATTTTCTGAGAAATTTAGGGAGGACAGAGACATCCCTAGAGCATTTAATGAAGCCAAAGCTCCAGAAAATAAGTCGCATTCTGTAATGGGAATGAGAGCATCATCAGGTAATACAAGAGTTATCTTTCTTTCTATTAATTTTGTCTTGATCAAAGGTAGACAACTTTGATGCCTTGCAGAAAGTATTAACAACTATTTTGTGGTGTTGAAATGGAAAGACATGGGGAAAATACACAAAGACAATGTTGTTATTCGTTCAGATAAAAGATATAGAACAAATTATTTTGGAGGTCACTATATTGATTGTTTTTTTAAGGAAAGACATGAGGAGGGGAGATGTACAAAGAGGGAATATTTTTTTATTTTGTCAGATAAGATACAATGAATCAAAGAAAATATTGTTTTTTCTATCAAGGGTTTTTATAAAAAAAAAATACATGGGGGAAATATACAGAGACAACATAAATGATTCTATCAGATGTAATATAAAAAACCAAAGAGCATTTGACAGTTGCTTTATTGAACTTTTATCCTTTTTATGTCATTGGTTATAAGATGGAGAGCAAAATATTCTAAATGGCAATGTTAAATTGCAATATATTGTGAAACTTTGAGCATTTGTGATTAATTAGTTAATAATTAACTGAAAAATTGTCTTGTTTTCAGATGAGCATCCATCCTGCAAATCTGCACCAATTCCTGACAAACATAGAAAGTATTACACAGATTATGTCAGTGATTGGCAGCCATTGAGTATGCATGCTCTTGTGGAGTATAAAAAGAAAATGGACTCTGAAGGTGATGGAGAGTTCAATCAAGGGAGAGCAAAAGTGTGGAAAACTCAACTTATTACATGATTTGTTTTTAATATATTTAACATATTTTTATAGATTAATGTTTGATTTTAGTTTTTGGAATATTAATTTGTTTTTGTTGAAAAAGCTGATTGCATTTATGATTATTGTGCATTTAGATTTGATAACTCTCTTGCCATCAATCTGCCAACACCTTCAGTGCTTTCTGTAGTTGATATTGTTGGTTTTTTTTCAAAGGATATATTTTCAGTAATATTTTTTGACACATTGACAAACTGTCCAATTTCTTAAAGCAAAAAAAAAGCTGATTCAATTATTTTATTGCCTGATTTCTCTGCTATATAAAAAAAAAACCATTAAGGATTATTTGATTTGGTTCCATTTTTCTTCTTCTGTAAGTTTCAGTTGGTCATGCATGTCCATTAGGAGCAAGAAATACTAGAAGTTGTATAATTTAGAGTGAAGATAGTTTAAAAGTGAAAGTGATATTTTATTTTGTTAGCCTCTCTACAGCTAATGTGAACCAATATGTATATTTAATTCTGTGATAACTGTAATTAAACCAAGATATATATATATCATTTATAGTTATTTTGTAAATTGTAGATCATTTGTATTTTATTATTATGAATTTACTATATGAAACTGAAATTATGGTGGTGACAAGATTGTATTTTTAGGCATCACACAGCTATAATTTGTATATGACTTTAAAAATTTTGTAGTTCTATTTTGATATAGGGTTGTTATTTACAGTATTGCTTGGCTTTTGAAAATCAACATATATATTTAGCAATCAACAAATGATCAAGGCAATTCACAGTGAAAATATATATAATTTCTTAAAAGTAAATTTTTGTAAGAATATAATGCATGTATAATTGTATGAATATGAACTGTATGATGCTGTATTTTTTTTTTTTTATAAAACATAGCATTTTTTTAAAATTGATGACAATATTCGATTTATACAATCTTCAGAAAATAAATCTTCTTAAAATTAAAAAATTGTCAGTCATCACAACATATTTTATGAATACTCATTGATGATGATAATGAGATCTATTTCCAAGATATGTGAAGTTCTTTTTATTTCTTATCTACTTGTATGAGATTTTTTTATATACATAGATTCTGAAATTGACCAAAACTTTATTTATTTATTTTTAAATTGCATTTAATTATCAGAACATCATGAACAAATTTGTTTTATCCTTCGCTTTTATCATCAATATATTTGGCTACTTCTGCTTTTTGATTTTCAAACTCATGTTTTTTTTAAATATAAAGGATGTGATAATTAAAAATGATTATTGTAAATATTTCAAATCCATTTGAAATTGTGATTCCGTCCAAAACCATACCATTTGTAAGTCGGAGATGTTTTTAGCATCCAGACAAAACTGATACTTGGTGCTATGGGATATAACCATAGTAATTAGATACACTGCATAAAACTTTTATGAGGGTCTGGATGGGATATAACAGACCAGAAATATGAATAGAGAAAAATGGGCAAAAATGAGATAAAGAATATAGAATATTGGGCAAAGAAATGAAGAATAAAGAATATAGAATATTGGGCAAAGAAATGAAGAATAAAGAATATAGAATATTGGGCAAAGAAATAAAGAATAAAGAATATAGAATATTGGGCAAAGAAATGAAGAATAAAGAAAAATGGCCTAAAAAAATCAAAAGAACAAAGAAATAAAGATCCAGACCCTCCTGTATTGTATTGGATATCTATGAAGGATGAGAAATGATTGAAGAATAATTTTATTAATTTTTTATTTGTGAACCAATGAAGCTATAATTATCTATTGTCTTTACATCTCTGCAGTTGTTTGAAAAAAGTTGGTTAACTGATATGTGTCGATGACTGGACAGTAACTAGATTTGCAAAAAGTATGAAAAAGAAAACAACAAGCTAGATATTTTTATTTGTTTTTGTAACTGAAGAGATATAATTGACTATGTATGCATGGTTTTTCTATTACAATCATGAAATATAAAAATAGTAATGATTTAAAATTTAAGAAGCTAAATGATAACTATGAACTGATTTTTTTTCTCAAAATATATATCAACACTATAATGTATGTTAAGTAACTGTAAAATGAAGACTCTTGGTTTGGACATTTTTTTCATGAGCATTTGTTAATTTGATACCTTCATAGATATTCTTATTCTATAAATTTCACATGGCTTGTAAAAATAAAGCATTCCAGAAATTTTTGACTTAGTTTATTGTATATTTTTATACGCCCATTTACGGGACGTATTATGGTATACCGTTGACCGTCTGTCCGTCCATCTTTCTGTCCGTCGTCAACATGTCAGACATTAATTCAAAAACGCTTTAACCAATATGCATGAAACTTTAGTGAATTGTTTATATCTGTTGACGTGAGCTCCCTTTTGTTTTTTGTAAATTTCAGATTTACCATTTCTGAGTTTTGGGGTTTTATTCATTAAAAAAGGGGAGATTTTCCAGTTTTCAGACAATAACTCAAAAACAATTTCACCAATTTGCATGAAACTTTTGTGAATTGTTCATATCTATTGACATGAGCTCCCTTTCGTTTTTTATAAATTTTGGATTTACCGTTTCCGAGTTTTGGGGTTTTATTCATTAAAAAAGGGGGGATTTTCCAGTTTTCGGACCATCACACTAAAAAATTTCACCAATTTGCATTAAACTTTTGTGAATTGTTCATATCTATTGACGTGAGCTCCCTTTCGTTTTTTATAAATTTCGGATTTACTGTTTCCAAGTTTTGTGGTTTTATTTTTAAATAAAAAAGGGGGATTTTCCAGTTTTCAGATAATAACTCAAAAACAATTTCACCAATTTGCAAGAAACTTTAGTGAATTGTTTATTTCTATCGACATGAGCTCCCTTTAGATTTTTATAAATTTCAGACTATACGTTTCCGATTTATGGCATTTTATTCATTGCAAATAGGGGAATTTTCCAGTTTTCGGACAAAAACTCAAAAATGCTTTCAGCATTTTTTATAAAACTTTGGTAAATTGTTTATATCTATTTTTGTAAGCTCCCTTTTGATTTTTATAAATTTTCGATTTTACGTTTCCGAGTTGTAAGATTTTATTTGTTTATAGTCTGACAAAAGATTTACTAAGTATTGCGCAACAGCACAGTGTATTGCACAACAGCAAGAAATCTTTCGTATAACCAATTTCAAGTTCTTTGACTACATTTATTCAGAAACCTATAATATATCAAATATTTAATTACAATCCAAATTCAGACCTGTATCAAGCTTGAATATTGTGTCCATTTTTGTCCCAACTGTTCAGGGTTGGACCTCTGCGGGCGTATCGAGCTGTGCTCAGCGAAGCAGTTTATTTCTTTTGAAAGAGTAAATGAAATTTACACAAGAAATTTCATCCATCCGAAGAAATTTTCTGGATTCACTTTCATCAGGAACGCTCAAATCCACAAAAAAAAAACTAAAAAGAATAGCTCAATTCATCTAAAAGAGAAAAGTTTCCTCGTATTCCAAGCATTTACCCTGTTTTTCGTGATAATTCAAGTTAAATAAGGGACACTTATAACAAGGTTATTTTTGCATTCCACATTTTGAAAATATTTTTTATATGATGGTGGAAAGCAAAAATGACCCTATGTATATGAAATTCATTTTATGGCATCTTCATGCTTAATTAGAAAAACATGACTTCCCCATGTAAAAAATGTTTGTTGCCGTAATGTTTGTTTTATTGAAAGCTTTATCCTGAAATGAAGTAAAAATGGCAGGTTCATGAGCACCATTTATTTAAATATCATGTCCTATGGTATTAATTTATACATTCTATGAGAAAGTGGAGAAGAAACCATTCTCATGTCTGATTGTGATGAAATTAAAACCATGAGTAATAAAAAACAATACTACGAAGAAAACTAAATATTGTTCACTGCACGAATTTCACCAAATACTAGGGGTCAACTCGGGTGGCAAAAAGTAAGAAGTGAAGATGATGGATATGTCAATGATAATTCTTGAAATTGCTTTGTTCTTGTTTGTGTTGTAATAAGCACTCCGACAAAAATTTAATTTCAATATATTGTTGATTGATTAGTACATTTCAAGTCATGGCCAATCTTGAAATATTGCTATATTCTATTTCTGACCATCTTCTAGAACTTTTCTAGCATTTCTAAACGTTACATTGGAATTAATTTCTTCCAGGGGAAAAGCCTCTTTGGGTCTTGTATTGTCATACTTGCCTGAACTTCAAGATGTTTTAAAATACTATTAAAGTTAATATTTGGATATTTGGTGCTTTCCCCTCAAGTGTGCATTATTAAGAAACAAACACAGACTTGTTGATGTACTCTGATGTGTCTCCTGGCAAACTATTACAGGGAGAGCGACCATTTTATAAATCTAACTCAGACTGCTGGTTTTCTACAAAGAAGTGAATATTTATATGACATTAATACATAACATACCTAAAACTATTCACGAGACATTTGTTGCTGGACATTTAACATTAAACATCAAATAATCAGTTTGAACCATTTTTAGCTCAATTGGCCCTTTACTTTTCTCATCATTTGGCGTCCGTCATCGTCTGTTAACTTTACAAAAATTTTCTCCTCTCATTGGGGTAATTAGTTTTAAAAATGTTTCTGATGATCCTGCCTGCCAACCAACATGGTTAATATATATGTTCCAATCCTGGCGAGGGAAGAACAAAAATTTGCTTCTGCAAATTTGCAGATTTAACATTGTAATGTTTAGAGTAATTATGTATATATATATATATATATATAAAAACATGGGGGTAAAATGCAAGTTTCTTGAAAACCGCTTTAAATATGGCAGAAATGTTTAGAATGTTGAGGCAATGCTACATGTAACTAGCCATCCAAGATACTAGTAATAAGACCTTCAGGAGCGTAAATTGTAGAAAAGTAAATATCTTTGTATATATAATGCTAAATGCATCCATGAATGAGTGAAACGAGAGTGGCTGTGGTGGTCTTCCCTTGGAAATATCTTAATGCGTACGTTTATGTTTTCCTAAGGCTTAGACCAAAGACGATTTATCATTTAATTTTACATACATGTGTATTGAAGATATTCTTTCCATTAACAGTACAAACTTTTCTGATTGGGTACCATTAAAAGTCACGAACTATAGATTACAGACACCAAATATATATACAGCTTCCTCAGCCTCATTTTTAGACATATACCCCAAATTTGACTACAGCAATCAACTCAATACTAGTTTCTATGACAAAAGAGATCAATTATAAATTTTCCTCACCTTAGAAGTGATTTACCAACTTCGTCCGTATATGGAGTAAATATTTCTCAACTCATGATTTTCAGGAGCTTCCAACTTTCAAAAACTGGTGCGCACGACATTCAAACTGGTGCACACGAGTTTCAAACTGCGCCCCAGTTCTTGAAAGTCGTGCGCGCCATATTGAAAGTCATGCGCACTAGTTTGAAAGTCTTGTGCACAACCTGAAAAGTTGTGTGCGCGATTTTTCAAAATGGTGCGCACCAGATTGAATCTCATGCAATCGAAAAAAATTATATTTACATGATACTTAAGGGGCTCCGTAATTATGCTTTACTATACTGATTGCATTATCAACTGCAAAAACTTTTTTGTTTAAATTCATTTGTGATGTATGTTTACACAGTTTTTGCTGCGGAATCCCAGATATGGCCATGTTAACCAATTATGTCTGTTTGGGCTGCTCATTAAATTTGGCAATATTACGGAACATTAAACAACTAACTACTGTCATTCAAGTGGGCATATTAGCTAGCTAGAAAACCAGATTTAACCCACTATTTTCTTAAGAAAATGCCTGTGCCAAGTTAGGAATGTGACAGTTGTTTTCCTTTTGGTTTTTAAAAACAATGTTTTTTTTTTCCAATTTAAAAAAAAATCTGTATTATAGATACAATGAATAAGCGTTGATTCTTGAAACAGAAACCGTGAGCCCGGAGGGCGAATTGTTTGTTTTTCATGAATCAACGCGTATCATTGTATCTATAACTTAAACTATTGTGTTGATTTCTTTTCAAAATTAAAGCCTTTTCTTAATTAGAAGGTAATGTTAGTGAGTATAAATAACCTTGTTATCATGTTTAACGATACATTAAAGTTCACATTTAATTGGTTAGAGAAATACAAATATAACATAACACGTCTGTCTTTAAATTATTATGCATCTGAATATTATTCGTAATTTACGAAATAAGACATATTCGAACTTATTTTTAAGTATAAATAATAAGTACATTGCCAATATTTCTAGCAAGAAACCTAATTTTAGACACATCACCATTTACTCGCATAGGTATTTGCGAATAAACATTTGTAAAGATATGTAGTAAAACAGATGTGATCATACTATAAATTAAACAAAAATGCACAAATTGAATGTGATATTTTTTATTCAAGTACATGAATTGGCCAATAATAATCCAAAAATAAACGGGAAAACGGGAAAACCCGCTACTCAAAAATATCCACAATAACATACCGATGTGTATCATATGTTCATTTATATATATAAAATAGACAGCAAGATTACAACTCATTGGAAGCCGAGAGATTTCAAGGCAAGTGTTTAAATTAATCCATTAGTGAACAGAAATCAGTAAATTAGCTAATTCAAATTTAATGAAATTAGGCACACAAAGGAAACAATATTGAATATGATTTGGTGAGTCCATTTCAGCGACAGATTTAGGAAGCGTTGATTCTATGTCTAGGTTAGTCTATGGAAAGGTATATACTATGAAATTTAGAGCGAGGGGCTTGCTTTCCTTAAGAAAGTTTATCACCAAGTTGCTTTAATTTTCCTGCACAAGGTTTCATAGTACACACTTTTCTGTGTACAAAGTAATTGCATGGATGATACATTATCATAATTTTAAGATATCGTTGTACTCTAATCAAGGTATAAAGAACCATATGTATTACCCTTTATTTAAATGATAAAATTTGCAATTGTCAAAAACAATTTTTAGATCCAAAGATTTTAATAGCAGGATATTTAAAAATCAACGTGAAAACTAATTACAAACTATTTAATTTAATTTGGAACACAGCATTTTATTTCAAAATAGCCAGTGGCAATTTTTGTTTTAAATATCTTGATTACGATACAATGAAATCTTACCCTTGTGGTCATTCATGCGTAGTTACTTAGTACACAGGAAAAGTATGTACTATAA